TAATTAATTGTAAATCGCAAAAGTTATCAGCAGGACCATATATACAAAGAGGTCAAATGACCAATATTATCGATCGACTTCTTGCAGAACATACAGAAGATGGAAACTTTAAAAGAAAAACAAATATAAAAAAGATAAGAAGTACAAACATTGATATGTCACAAATGCCAAAATCATTAGCCGTCAATTTTTTAAGAGTAATCGCTCATTTTGTGTGTTTTTGTTTTGTTTTAGAAACTACAGGGGATAGAGTGATAGTGTAAATAAAACAAATGATTGACAAGAAATAAAAATAAAAAAAGATCTACGAACATTTCAAACGACCGAAACTATTAGTCGATTCCTATTAGAAGTTATTTCCCTTGAGTGATAAATTTCATACCTTTGTTTTACTATTATTTAGTCCTATTGAAATAAGCTTTATATTATTTAACGAAACATCCCTTACCAAGTCTAGAATATTCAATTCAATTTGGTAGTTTATTTCTCATTTGATAGTGGGTTATATGACATATTTAATACTGATAATTCAGTAATGAAATGCTATAGTAACCTAACGAGGAACTCGTGTTGAGTTTATTGGTGAATTATTATATGAGAATTGTTTTCGTATTTCAATTTAACATTTTATTTCCAGGAAACAGCAAGCTTTGCATACAAGAAAGTAACTGTTTATCAAGCAGTGAATTAGTACCTACTGGATTACCCTACAGGAGCCTCAACCATGCGGACTTTATCCCCGTCAATCAATTTGCGGTACCTTTACATGTACAACTTGTTATGGGTAACAATCGCATACGAATTTACAATGCAACTGAGTTTGGAATTTTACCATGTGGAATATTGTACAGTTATCAGTCAACAGAACCTTATGATGGAAGGAATTGCCAGCTAATTCTCCCTCGGATTCACCAAGAGAAGGTAGGAATACAAGAAACATGAAGATGACAATAGACAATCTTTGGTAAATACATGTAACTTTATTACATGTATTTCTATGATAAGAACTAAATGAAATTTTAAATGAAAAAAATTGCCTGGTTTCAATGCAAAATATGCCAAAAAATCGTAAAAACAAACAACACAACAAAAGAAAACAATGAATACATATATGACATAATATAACATTTAATTTGTATGGAATGAAACCTATCCGTCTTAGGGGACGACCATTTGATATTCTGCCCCCTCCCGAAAATCAAATAGTCGTTCCCTCACAATCGTACAATTTGTATCTGAAAATTTGGTTTTCAAAAAGGAAATAATTGACAAGTCTGTTGTGTAAAATTATATTTTTTTTATTTATAAACCTAGAGATGGATATATATACTTAAAATGACATGCTATGCTGAAAAAAAAAAATTCACGAAATACTAAATAGGACTGTGTATATTGTATCTATGTTTTGTTGTAATTGAACATCTGCCTAATATTTCTTTTTTTTTTCATTTCTATAAAATGAATAAAAGAAAAAAGAAAAAAATAATAATGGTTTTCTTTTTCAGGTTTTCTTCCACAGAAGATAACAGAAACTGGATACTAAAAGGACAAAATTTTGATGCATATAAACATTATATACTTGATTACTTGAATATAATGAATCAATTTCGTACAATATGTATATTCTTTATTTCATTCTTGCATAATATAAAATAAATGAATATAATTAAATGATATCTTGTTGAATTGGTCTTCAAGTAGTATGCATTGAAAATTAATATTACAAAAACAAGAGCAGGAATCATCATAAATATTATACTGCAATATTGATCATCAAATAACCAACAATGATCCCTTCGAAAGTATTCAGAGATATATAAAAAGTCAAGTCCAGATAGGCTGACTTGGTACATGAACAAAACATGTGATGTCAAACCAGTTTTTCGTTCACATGAACCTCTTCACTTGCCTATCCGAACCATGTGTGACATAAAACACACAATAAAACATGCACAGTACGGCTCTGCTCGCCTTTCCAATTAAAAAAATAAACTTCAAACTTTTAACACTTGAAATTGTTATTCATTTCGGTTTGAATCTTGTATTAAGTTGTAGCTTGATTATCAGAAAAAAGCCCTAAAATTTTAAATGTTTAGTTAATCTGAATTTAAAAAAAAAATTGGAATTATTAAAATTTGTCGGTATGTATCATGTGCTTTTACTTCTGATATAATCATATTTTATCAACATTTCGCGGGAAATGTTTAGGTAGTGTGTATAGGATTAAATCCTCTTATTCATGTGCGTGTGCGTCATCTATTTTTAGCACACACATAATTTAACATGTAATACTATGCAGTCAGCAGTTGATATTTGTTGGATATTTATACTTTCCGTGAAGAATTCTGGTGCAGTAACGTGTTGACCGTACAAAAACTATGTAAGTAAGTATTATTATAAGCTAATGATACAAAGGAAAAATGAAGTTGTATTACCACGCCCAGTAAGAAACATATCATGGTATATATGGAAGACCGCTAGGGTAAACTCATCATCAATATAATGATAAGGTCTAGTGAACCTCGAGATAAGGTTTCATTTACAGCCGGGAAGCCACTGACGCAGGAGAGTTCCTCTAGACGTTTTTGATCACGTGATTTAGACGTAAACAAAATGACGTTTTTGATCTGCAAAATCGGGAATGAATTTTCCGTTTTTATTCTGTATGTGTTGATTCTATGTTGGCATCCAAGCATAATAATGTTTACTTGGAACATTATTTATCTCCGTTTTAAGCGGTTCTGCTTAGAATTCGCAATGTGACGTAAAAATGGTGTCCTGACAAAAGTTAAATCAGTATTTTCCGGCGTTGGTACCTTTAATCTTATTAAAATATTCCCTTGAATCGTGATATGCTGGTCGCATTTCATTTATTTTCATTAGAGAAATTATAAGAGATCGTGGTCATGTTAATAAAAGAAGGATATTTGTTAAGGGATGAAAATGTGTCAGTTATCAGTGCCAGTCCGTAGAGTGAAAATTTGTCTCGAAGCGGTAGAAATCCCAGTGTTCGTAACACCTCCGGATTTTTCGTAATACTCCTGAGAAAAAGACGTTTCTCTAATGATGCCCGAATTGAAAGAATATTATTCCACTTTCTCAAACTTCTTTCAATATTATAACCTTCTATCGTGTTTTGTTATATATTTGTGCACTGAACAGTTACACAAAATATAATTGGGACAATTACTGTATTTATTTTCATTTTAAGTAAGACATTAGGACACAACCAATTAAAAAAATATAAGAATATCATATTAATTCCATATTTTTAGTGCAAGTACACAAATGTTTTTTTTATTGTTTATTTCTTCTTTTATCAATCAGTTTGATTTTTCAACTATGCCCAGGCTAAGAATTTGTGCACATGCATATTGATTTCCCCACTTTCTGATACCAAATTTGGACACTTCTTTCTCTAATACTGATTTTAAACTCAATATCAATGTTCATTATGCATTTGATAAACTGCAGAAGTATAATGATATTACCGAGGGATTTCTACACTATTTATATGTGTTTTACCCTAATTCAAACAAGTTAATGCTAAAGTTGAAGTATTTTTGTGGCTGATGATGATAGATTTAATTTTGTTTTATTCAAGTTTTGTTTTTTGTGTTCTGTCATTTTGCATTGTTTTTGTTTTGTTGTATATATTTTTTTTGGGGGGGGGGGGGGGGGGGTAAAATTAATCTGTCATTTGAATAATTAATATGCATTTATGCTTAGATGTACAGCAATATTTGGCTAGTAAATAGAACCAATTATGAAGTTCTAGGAAATGTCTTCTCAGGAACAACCCTTTTATTGAGGTTCTTCATTTTGAATGTTGTTGATATAGAAGTTCTGAAATCGTCAACATACAGAGATTTAATTAATTTGAGAGAGCCTGCGTGTTATGTTCCAGTTTTGCATCAGTTAAACATGATAAATTTGTTCCAACCTATTTTTTAACAAGATTTCAGAGTTTGGATACTTGGTATCTGGTACTGATTTGTCAGATCAGACAACAGAAAACAGCATTGTAAAATTCTGCTTGTATGTCCATTTTATTTCAATTTGGTATTTTTGGAATACAAATGAGATAAAGCCATTTTAAATTGAGTAACATCAGCTGAACAGAATGTACAGGAACCAATCATTTAGTAGTCTTAAGAGCAAAGAATGGTAGGGAATCTGCCATTGTACTCAGTACCTTTCGAGCTACCATGTAAAAAAATGACTCATGATGTCAGATTTTACAAACCACATTGACATTAATTATCCTGAATGTCATATAATATAATAGTCAAATAATAAAAACAGAAGCCGGTGAGCCCATTTTGTAATCCAGTCTTGTTACAGGCAGCCATGAATGTAGCGTGTACCTTTGGCTTTCAATTGAATCTTTGCGATGATTTACTGGTAGCTTTTAATTGAATTTAGTCTTGTATTTTGATAAGAATTGCCAAGACTTAGGTCTTTTATAGCCTATCATATGGTATGGGTTTTGCTTATTGTTAAAGGCAGTTCAGTGACCTTTAATTTTTTACATCCTTATCCTTTGGTCTCTGGTTGATTTTTTTTTCAGTGGCAATCATACCACATTCACCTATATCTATAATAATGATTGAAATGGGTAATAGTTCTTGTTATGATAGACCAAATATTTTTTCATCACAATTTCTTTAATTTCACCAAAAACGACTGAATTACCAGAACTGTTTTTTTTTATGGAACAAAAGCATTTCTAGAAGACACAAACTATGGTTTATGATTTGAATATATCAAATACAGCAATAGTTCAAATCCATAAATGAGCAGGTTACAATTGATAAAGAAGCAAAAAACAGCATCCAATACTTTTTTAAACCAAATTCAAAGTCTTAATAGCTACCAGATTGCTGAGATTAACTTTAATTGTCATAGAAAGTTGGTGTGTCCTCATTTTCTAACAACAGCTGGATATTTGTTAATATACATGTATATATTGATGCATACAAAAAAATAAAAGAATTAGAATATATGATGAACAATTTATTGAACTACAAGAAAATTGTAAATGAAACACATGGTACTATACACATTTTATACAACTTGCCACATTTTCAGAAGATCCCTAAAAAGAGCCAAATATCTGTCTAACCAAAAAGGAGGTTTAAATTTTTTAAATAAAACATAAAGAGTATGGTTGTCCTGTTTTTAGCAAAATCTTTTTGAAAAAAACATGATGATCTGCCAGATCTGGTCACATACATGCATACAAAGAAGATAATAACACCAATAAATAATGAACTGGTAACATTCACATAAAAAAAGACAGATTGACCAGCATTCACAAGTACAGGTACTAAAGGTGCAATACCAACTTTCCCAAGACGGTACAAAACGACCAGCATTCACAAATACAGGTACTAAAGGTGCAATACCAACTTTCCCAAGACAGTACAAAACGACCAGCATTCACAAATACAGGTACTAAAGGTGCAATACCAACTTTCCCAAGACGGTATAAAATGACCAGCATTCACAAATACAGGTACTAAAGGTGCAATACCAACTTTCCCAAGACGGTATAAAATGACCAGCATTCACAAATACAGGTACTAAAGGTGCAATACCAACTTTCCCAAGACGGTACAAAATGACCAGCATTCACAAATACAGGTACTAAAGGTGCAATACCAACTTTCCCAAGACAACACAAATATTACCAGTATCATTAAAACATGAAATAAGATACCATGGAATGACATGTACTAGGCAAATGTTTCAAGGTAAACAAATGTTTAATTAACTATATTAAACATTCAATCTTTAAAAACTTTTCTCCTTTGAACTTTTCAAGAATATCTTGGAATGTATTGTAAATAACTTTTCACACAGGATAAAATTAATTTAAAAAAAAATTAGCACATTTAAGCCTCTTCAGATTTTTATTGATTTAATTTGTCTCTTGTCAAAGGAAAATTATGATTTTCCTAGAATTTAAAATTTATTTCTTAAAAGTGGCAATTACATAAACATGTAGTAGAGAATAATACTATGCAAGATATCATATATATTATTTTTGATTAAAATGTTCATTCACTATCTGTGGAGAGTCCTACAAAGACAGTAAACCAATATCTCTGTACTCCCATTCACTTACCTGAAATAAACAAGAAAAATTAATATTTTATAACAAGTTTTTGCAAGGCAAGTATCAATATGCCCCTCTTATTATCATGGCATGCAGACAAATATAATACTACTTAGCTTTCATAACTTTTTCATTTTAAATCCAACAACACCATCACTTACTTATTTAAAAGTACAAATATTATAGAATCGATAGTAACCAGATTAGCTTGATAAAGTACAAGTACAAGTTGTAGAACCTAGTTACTGATATACATATAATAATTTATATACATACAATGAAATTCAATTGCAAGAAATTACAATTCAATCCTTATCAATAAAAAAATAATGTATATTTACAAGGCCTTATTCTGTAAACAAGTTAGAAAACTATCAGATCCCTAGTCCATTCAAAACATATCATAAGTGAATGTGTACATCAAATCAACATTGTTAAAAATTGCTAGTCAATTTATAAAGTTATTTGTGAAATTGCATTAATCTTTGTACTGATTAAATCCACATACAAATATATTTGAATGTTATGTGTTGCTATTAATAGGCACTTGTATAATCAACATTGTTGATATACTTTGCATTGAAAATTAGAGAAAAATATTTTGCTGTATTTACAAACTACTGTACCCACCCTTTCCACTTTTTATATAATATACATACCTTAATTATCTGTACATTCAACATAAAATTTTCTCAAACCAGTATTTTAAGGATCTGAAACTTGTACAAAACATAAAGCAAATTAGTAAAGGTAATTGTTCTTGCTCATTTATGGTAAAAACATAATATAGGAAAATATCTAAGCCACAGTTATCATGTAATAAATGATGCTATCTGAAAAAAAGACATGAAAATATGTACAGTACAAAATTTGTATTAGACATAAATATTTGCAAATTCCCATTGATGTCCGTTTAAAATAAACACCAAGGACAGCCATTCAGTAGTCCTAAAAAAATATTAAGTGATTAATACAGTTGTCTCCAATATCTCAAATTTTAAGAGTTATCTCTCTTTTGTTGAGGTTTCAATAAATCATTAATTCAAGCCCCTAAATACCTGAAATGCACAAAAAACTGAGGTTCAAAGGAAGAGTAAACAATAACAAATTTGAACAGGAAACTTGCAAATCTAGTGGTAGGAATTTGGAAACAAAACAATTGTTAAAAAAAGACTATCATGACTAATGAATATTGATAAAATAAAAAAAATATCATTGAATATTATCAATTTTGCATGAAAGTTATATACAAAAATGTATTAGTCCTAAACATTCACACACCACAAAGATATCATATTAGTTTATACAAATGCAGTTTATATAACTGGATCAAATAATATTGACAAGCAAAAAGTCAAAACTTCCAAATTGTGTATCAAGTTTAGGTTCAAGGCTTCTCCATTGAAACATTCTTTCAAAACAGAAGTGTTAATATCAGTTATAGCAGAGGTTGGGTATAGATTATTATGACAGCAAGCCAACAACACAAATTTCCAGGACATCAGAAAATAAATATGCAGAACTTAACAATTAAAAGAAGACCTATTACAATATATCAAGCCTGATTCCACTTTTCATCTAAAAGCACTGTGATAAATTGAACAGCTTTGCCATTAACAACATATTCATGAAAGTATTTTTATCTGAAAAAAAATAAAAATTAAATCTCTTCATTACTGAAAAGCCAGTAATCATCTGTTTGATCAAGTTCCTCTACTAATCCATCTACTTCAGGTTGTTCATCTTCAACTGGATCTTCAAGGTCTTCTGTTTCATCTGAAATGACATCATCAAGGTCAATTGACATATCTAATACTTGATCTCCACTACCTGGAACATTAAAACAGTTTACACATTTACAACCTGGACCACAAAAACCATCACAGTTATCATTTTGTGCCTTCTTACATTTACACCTATTTGTTTTGCATCCAGTCTTACATCCACACCCTTTGGTATACCATTCTACAGTTTTCTCCACTTTCTGAAAATTTAAAACAGTGTCCCAAACAAGTTCTAATCTATTATCAGTGATTTGCCATCCAGATTTTGACAAATCAGAAAGTGTATGGGTATTGCTGGTGCTCTGACTCCAATAATCAAACACCCAGCAACACCGCATCCAGTGTAGTTTGAGGGCTTCATGGTTTGGCATCATTTCCACTTCAGTGACCACTCTTTCCCACAGCTTTTCTCTGATGGCTGAAATAAAAGATACATGTTTTTCATGTAAGTCCCCCTCTGAAATAGAATCAAATAATGATTTAGGAGTAGAATATGGCTGAAATGCAGCACGATGTTTATTAAAATAAACAGAACATATTAACCTGTAAAATGAATGAAGGCCGTTATGACCATGAACATCTGCAAAGCTTCCATTTCCTACAATAAAAGAGGCATGCTTTCTGAATACATCAAAAAAATTCTTCTTACCACAACCTCTGAAATATGACACAAAATCACATCCACTATAGATAAAAAGTAACTGCATACATATCAAAACACTGTCAATTCCCTGTAAAAGTGAATCATTTAAAGTAATACACTTTACAAGTTTGTCCATGGAAAGAAATGAATTGTTGTATGGTGAATCTCTCAACTGCACATATACAGTTTTATTCAAATTAGGTACAAGTGGTAAACCTATAAAAAATACATCAGTATCAGGGCTGTAGATTATGACTTGATCTGCTGTTGTAACTGATGCATGTAACCATACTCTAGTATCTGCCTCTTCATGATTACCAGATGCCAAGTCATAATCTACAACCTGACCATTTAATATGGAAATTGCTCTGTCTTTTCTGTCATCATCAAATCCTCCAGCTGTAACAAAACAACATTGGTTAGTAGAGAAAAAAGTCAATGAAAGAGACAAAAAATATTCAGACAAAAAGTTAACCAAAAGTCGCTTTTGATGGCGAACTGCAATAAAATTTCTCCAGTTTGATAGCAATGGTGTGTCGGAGGAAATACATGTACGTACAACTGGTTCCTGTACAACTGTATTCCTCCGCGTTCTTTCAATGTCTTTTGGGCTAACACCATTCCTATTTGGATCATCAAATAGTAAATGAACTTCATTTGCTGTATACTGGTTATAATACTTTATAATCCATCTATTAAAAAGAAATTCACCATAATCACCAAAGGTCTGGTGTGAGGCAAGTGGACTGGTATTGATAATAAACATACCATCAATAATGACAGTAGTTTTACTTGATACTGGAGTCTTAGGAACCTGTAATAAAAAAGCATCAGAATAAATATGTTTAAAGACATTAGCTGCAGTGGCTTTTTGGCCCTTTTCTGGAATTCCTTCTGCATCACACAAAGCACGTGGCAGCTGTAAAAACTGGTCCAAATCCTTGACTGCATTACCACTATGCTTTGAAAATGCTATTTTTTTCCTCAAACAAGAAATCACTGTATTTTGATCTTTAATTTCTTTTTTTTGCTTGTGAATAGTTATTTTAATAGGGGCAAAAGTTTTTAAATTTCTTCTTTTTCTGGGGGGAGGTTTTCCTGCTGTTTCACAAGTTCTAAATAAAAAGCATTTTAAATAATTTCCCAAGTCTTCCTCACCATACTTTCTATAATTTATCAAACTGTCAGTCTGTTCATGGTCAGTCTCAGTTCTGGTAAAAATATGATGTAAATTTTCATTACAGTTTATGACAAACAGAGATGATGTTTCTAAATTGGACATGTATTCACAAACTGTTTTTTCTGCATTTTTAACATATGACGTTGTACCTTCTCTCTGATATAACCCTTCTTCTCTTTCAAGTTGTAATTCTGATTTAAGGTTATGCAATGTCTTTGCTCTGTAAGGTAAATAAAAAGTGAGATTAGCCAAAGAAGACTGGCTGAAAGAGTTAAGAGCATTTTTTGACTTTAAATTAATTTCCATTTCATGTGCTTCATCTAGTGCTACAGAATACAAATGTTTACCTGAAATTGAAACTGAAAAGCAGCCAGCTTCAAAATGTTTAATAACAGGTTCTGGAAAGGTGTGGAGATCAGCAAGATGGTAGGGTATGAGTCTCTGATAATTTTGCCTATCAAAAGCATGAAATAGACAAGTAATTTTTTTCAGTGAAACATTCCGTAAGTGCCAGTTTCTACTACGTATAGAGAAAAACAAACCAAGATAAGCCATAAAATCTAAATGTACAAAATTGTCCCAAAAAGCAAAAGTTTGGTTGACTGAGGAGTTCTCATGACGCCAAGTGTTATATTCTTCTAATAAATCATCTGTAAAAAAAGTAAAAATCTCCCTTTTTTTCTCACATACCTTCTCCCAGACATCAGTTTTACAAACATCCTCTTCTCCTTCATCTAATGACATATCTGAAATAATATCAAATATTAAATCTGAAACTTGAATATCATAAGGTGATTCACATGATTTGTATTCAAAAAAAGATTTCACCTGATGTCTCATAACTGCTTCCCAAGCTTGTATAAAAAACCTATGAGTTATTGCAAACTTGCTACACTCAGTTAAAACTTTTAACGTAGCTCCATGATGATGTTTAGTAGCAAGTTGCTTCAATCCAGCATCAAAATAAATCTTGACAAATATGGGAAGGACATTTTTTAATATATGCCAATCACCAGGGTAGGCAAGTACCCAATCCATGTTTTCCCCATATTCTGATTTAAGTTTGATCAAATGATCGTAACTTTTCCCGTCACCTACAACAACAACATAATTAGTCAACTGACCAACTTGAAATTTATCATTTAAAATATTCAAAACCTTTAATACTGTTTCTTTGCTGTCTGCTGTTTCATCCAGAATGGCTACTGAAGAAAAATCTGATTTTTCAGTGGTTTCAACTGGAATAGAAAAAAAGGTTTTAATACCTGGTAAAACAATATTTTCTTTTTTGAAAAAGTTTTTTGAAAATCCATATTTTGTTACACTTGTATAGAATTCATCCCATTCTGAAATCTCTGCAGCTGTTTCATCTAAATCTGATGGTGACATGTTAGAAAACTTATTCTGCTTTTTTACTGGTGGGAGCCCAAATTTGTCTTCTGGATTTACAACTTTCTGAATAATGTCTTTTTCCAGTTTACGGTCTCTGGAATTTTTAAGTTCAGATATGTCATGTTCGATGTTGGTCTGATTAAGATTTGAAATCAGATTGGAGTCATCAAACATATTAATTTTTTGACTTGGCTTTGGAACCACAGTCTGTATTGTGGTTCCATGGAAGCCACTTCTATCTTTTCCAGCACATACTACAGAGTAAGCCTGGTTTTTATCAAGGTTATCAAATGAGGCTACAATAAAACTATCTGATAAAATATACCTCTGTTTTTGTTCTAATTCTCTACACCTATTAGTAATGTATCTTCTGAGAGAGTCCTTTGAGATACCAGCCCCTAATCTAGCATTAATGGAAAGAAATGTGCTAGATGAATTAGAAAACTTATCAGCTATGTCTGTATATAATAAATGCAAAGGTTGCACACACTGGGAATTCTGTAAATGAAAAATACAACTCAAAATGTACAAACGTGGCATCATTCTGAAAATATTGAAAAGTGGTTCAGAATAATGTGAATTCCAAGTAAATTGTGACTTCTTCAGCACTTTCTCTTCATTATCAGTAGAACAAATTCTGAAAAATAAAATTCCATAATATAGGGGGGATTTTCAAAATTTCATCTTTACACTTAAAGTTGTCAATGTCAGGAAGTCCGTCCATCTTGATTTTATCTGATACATATATTTTAACATAATTTTTCAAGATTTTTACAGCATCTTCTAGACTTTGCTCTTGTTTGTTTTTTCTACTTTCTGCTGATACAGTAGAAGCCATTTTTTCTGCTTGAATTATGCTTTCTTTTTTTAATCTTTTGTTATCGTCAATACATTTAAGATTTTCTACAACAACTGTGTGTAAACAACCAAAAATATCAGTACCATTCCTGTAAATCATTCTCCCTAAATTTTTTTTCTTTGGCACATAATATGATAGGGCTCTGCCAAGACACGACTTCAACATGGTAAATAACCACTGAGGACGATGAAAAACCTTCTGCTCTACACATAAGTCTAACTTTTTTGCATTTTTGTGTAAAATACATTTATACTGTTCGTATAAATTTGGTAAAAGCAAGGCTTTTTCTTCTACAAAAGAACTTATGACAGATTCTAGGACAGACCTGAAAGAAAATGAATCTATATTCTCTGTTGTTACCTTTTCAGTGTCTATAACTGTAAAATTTTCCAAACAACTGAA